TTGGAAAAATGTAACCTCCAATGTGAGCTCTATATTGCAATACTTAAAGATTTTGTTCTGATGACATTGGTGGTGATATTAATGAATGTGACTTTTTGATATTATATAATAAAATCTGTCATCATTTAGAGAATCTGCATAGCTCAGTGAGCTTATGTTTCTCAAATGCCCAATGAATAATGTTACAAAACCATGCATTGGTAAAAGATCTATACAAAGTGCAAGATAAATCATTGGATTTAAACTTAATGAATATGAAAAGTTCACTATTAACTTTTCAGATTCCACACTGCATTTAAATTTTAAGAAACTATTACTTGTCAAGAGTATTCACACTTATCTGAATAGGTTGTTAAAATACTCCTTCCTTTTCCAACTCTGTGAAGCTGTTTTTTTTAATATACTTCAGCCAAAAAATATTTCACAGTAGATTGAATGCAGAAGCAAATATGAGGACCTACTTGTCTTCTCTTAAGCCCGATAAAGAGATTTTCAACATTGTAAAACAACCTCTCCTTGGTAAATTTTTGGTTTTAAACAAAAGAATTAGTATTTTATAAAAATAGGGTGTTTATGTTAAAATGTAATTGGGTTGTTATTGTTATTTTTCATTAAATAATAAATATTTCTAAAACCTGTCAGTATTAATTTCTAATTATGTACATATTAAATATATGTATATGTATATGTATATGTATATGTATATGTATATGTATATGTATATATATATTACATGCCTGCTGTGAGTGTATTTACTCTTTGGGGCCTTTAATAATTTTTATTAAAGGAATCATGATACCTAAAGTTTTGAGAACTAGTGTATTAAATAAAACTGTCAGTTTTTGATGGTACACTTATCTTCTCCCACGCTGTCACCTTTCTATTAATTTTACCTGTGATGTACTTGGTTAAAAATAAATCTTTAAATTTTTATGAGCCAATTCCCTTTACACTTTGTGCTTTTCTGATCTTTTTAGAATAACAGCTTCTTCAACTCTGAGGTCACAAAAATATGCTTCTACATTTTTTTTCTATTAAATGAATAGTGTTACTTTTCACATTTGGCTTTTAGTACATTCCAATCCAAATTAATTTATCTCAATACAGACAGTTTTCCTAACACCATTTACTAAATAATCTACCCTCTCCTCACTGACATATAATGCTGCCTCAAGTATGGATATATATTAATATATAGCCTCTTTCTGGATCTCCCTTCCAATTCCACATGGATATTTATCTGTTTATGCTAGTACTACATTTTACATCTAAATGGTCTCGTAGTTTTAATATATGGCAAAATTCCTTCCATTGTACCTTTCCATTATTCCTTTAGCTATTTATTAGTGAAGGTTTATTTTTCAATGTATAATTTAAAATAAAAACAATATATTTCAGAATAAATTTATCATGACCGAATAGTATATCCTTCTTGATGTTGATGAAAACTGCACAGAATTTACAAATAAAATTGAGGGAACCAACTTATTATGCTGTCTTATTCATTATTCTGTCTTCTATTTTGTCTTTTAGTTAAAAATGTTCTCATAAGACCATAAGAATTATTTATTAGGTTAATTTCTAGATACTTTATCATTACTTTTGCTATTATAGATAACATCATTATCAATGCATTGTTTGCCCTGTACAGTAGTATGAAAAGAAGTATGAAATACACACTGTTTTGTTGCTAAAGTCTTAGTAGTGCTCTTTCCACATTATTTCCAGTTAATTGTGGAATCAAGTATTTGATTCCACACCAAAACTTGACAAGCAGCAATTCTTAAAATCTTATGGCAACATATCTCTCACTCTTTCATTCTCTCTCTTTCTCTCATCTCCTCCCTCTCCTTTCTCTTCTTCCTTTCTCATTCTTGTTCTTTTAACAGTTGTATAGTATTTTATTTTCTGGACTTTTCCTTAATGAAATGACTTAGACACCTATTGATAGACATTTTAACCTATTTGAAATTGTGTCCTATTATATATAACACTGTGGGAAACAACTTTGTAGCCACATCAATTTGCTTATGTGGTTATACTTATAGACTACATTTCTAAAATGAAATGCTGAGCTTAGGAAAATGTGCATTGGTCATTTTGTTTCATGTCACTAAATTGTTCTTCATGAAAGATTGTGTTATTTATACTCCCACCAGGAATGTACAAGCTTTCCTGTTTTTCTATACTTTTTCTAATATTGTATAATCCTTTTTTTGCTTTTTTATTATGTAAAGTGTGACTTATAGTATCTTGAAGTAGATTAAAAGGCAATACTATTTTGCCATAAAATACTGTTGGAATAGGATAAAAGGGAATTACTTGCAGCATGTCTTGTGGTGGAGATGTTTCTAAAATCATTCTATAGCTTTCATCCAGGGATTAATTTATTTCTCACAGAAATATAGATTTCTCACATTAAATTTGAGTATGACCGTGACAGTGAAATCTTAGCCTTTTATATTGAGGTCCCAACACCTAGTAACTGTTAATAATCCTGTATTCTAGAAATCACTTTTAAAAATTATTATTTTTGATTGTTATGCATCTATAATTTAAGCTTTAGAAAATTAATGTATGGTTCATCAGCTAAAACTCTGGCAGAGATAATTGGGCCATCCATAAGAGATATAAACAAGATAACTGAAATGAGATCAAAGATAATTGAGAAAGGAATAATCAGCAATATCGTGTGGAATTTAACTTCTAAAATGGGAGGAAAAATTATTAAAACTGTCCACTATTTATGAGACTCTTCATATATATATATATATATATATATATATATATAGGTTCATATTATGAAGAGTCTCATAAAAAGAAAAAAGAATGTTATACATAAGATATAAGATACTGGGAGAATATTTCTCTTCCATAGCCATGTGATAATTTACCTAACATAGTAAAATTCTAAAGTCAATCTTTAAAAAAACTAATAGATATAAATGTTAAGAGTAATAAGTAAAATTTACCTTTATGGTGGATATTCGCTTTTTTGAGCCTCCAAACAGTATTTTTACATAAAATGTATTTATGTAAGTAAATTTGATGTCTGAGTATTGAAATGAGAAAAGCAAAATTGGATTTCAGAATCAACTCCCTTAGTATTATTGGTGAAAAAGGGGGACCACAGACCCAGAATTTAAATGCAAAAATGTTGTTTATAAGGTCTGCATTAAAAGAGTCAGAGAGGGATATACTCACCACTGGGAGGCTGGGGACTACCTTGGCCAAGTTCTTTAACTCATCAAAATTCCAGGTATTCTTTATACATAAATAAGACTGAGGATCGCTCTGTGAGTGAGCGCCAGACCGTGAGGAACCTCATGCCATTCAGAGAAGGAAGATGAGACTAGGAAACTGAAAATCGAGAGGAAGGCAGACCTTACCATGTTGGCAGATTTTCAAAAGCCTAAACGGGTGCTGCCTACATGCAGAATTCAGGATTGCCCACAAGACACTAACATATTTAAAATATATAAATCCAAGGAAATAAAACATTGTAAGCCTTTTCATAAGTCATGGTGTTTGTCTGGGGTGGATTGCTTTCTTAGTTCCAATTTTCAACTTTTTGAATATATGACATGAAGATAGGTAGGTAAATAGATACATAGATAGGAGAGAGAGAGAGAGAGAGAGAGAGAGAGAGAGAGAGAGAGAGAGAGAGAGAGAGAGAAAGGAAGGATGGAAGGAAGGAAGGAAGGAAGGAAGGAAGGAAGGAAGGAAGGAAGGAAGGAAGGAAGGAAGAAAGGAAAGAAAGAAAGAAAGAAAGAAAGAAAGAAAGAAAGAAAGAAAGAAAGAAAGAAAGAAAGAAAGAAAGAAAGAAAGAAGAAAGAAAAGAGAAAGAAAGAAGAAGAAAAGAAAGAAAAAAAGGAGGGAGGGAGGGGAAAAAAGAAAATTGATTACAGAGGGGCAGTTTCTTCACATACACATTCTATCATTTCAAATATTAACTCTCAGAGTCTTCTTAGAAAGTGAGAAACCCTAATCTCATGAATCTGATGATTGTCTGGTTTTCTCTGGAAAATGGTCTCTGAATTATTACTATAATAAAAGACATTAAAATGTTTCGATTTGTTGTTGGTAGAGAGAGAAACTTAACAATTTTTCTAGAACATAGAAGATTTTGCATGCAGCATAAAGGCATTTTAAAATGAATGACACATTTTTAATAATTTCCAGATACGAAGAAAATATTTTTGTTTTATGATTTAATTATCATACAATAATTGCCAAAATGAGCTCCCCTATTTAAATATCAGAATATTAGAATTGTTATTACAGGGCTGTTACTCCTGCAGCAAACTATTGTTGGGCGATTTATAATGGGGAGAAAGTATCAGTTAGAAAGTCTCCCTATGATGAAATGAAGAGACAGCAAGTATTTGATGAAAAGCCCTCTATAACTTATAGTGGAGACAACTATATAAAAATCTAGAAACTGAAGATACTTCTGTTTGTTTTTGGCCTTTGTCAATTTTGTTGCCTTTAGCTTTCTTATTCTAGTACTCAAAGATCTCAGGGAGATTTTCATGTTTTATTTCAAGTAGAAATTTGTTGATGCCTAAAGCATTTGAGACACATTTACAATTATGTTGACCTTAGAGTTTCATTGTAATGTCACTGAGGCTATTTTGACAAGGTAATATTCCGTTTTCAGTTTACTAAGTCTCATCTTCATATCATAACCAATCAATGTTTTCTATACTTAATATTTTGGGGGCACATTGCCTTTTTCAAAGTTTGTTCACAAATATTGCTTTGCTTGAAAAAGGGTTTTCGAGAAAGATTTTGAACCTAAACTTGAATATATATATATATATATAATATTCATCTTTTAAAATTATAAGAAATTACTATATTTTTGTATTATTTTAAATATATAGTATTATTTTAAATATATACTAATAAATAAAAAATGTTTTATTTCCAAAGTGGATAGTGTCAATATTGTTATCCTGAAAGCAATGAGATAACCATTGATTTTCCTGCTTCCTCAGATAAATTTACAAAGAAAAATGAGAGTTACTGGTGTAATTACCCAAGGAGCCAAGAGGATTGGAAGCCCAGAATATATAAAATCCTACAAAATTGCCTATAGTAATGATGGAAAGACTTGGACAATGTACAAAGTGAAAGGCACCAATGAAGATGTGGTAAGAATGACTTAACATAGTTAATTTAAAAGTCAAATTCCATTAATAATCATTGCTTACCAAATGAATAATGGGTCTTCAGCAGAAGCTTTATGTTGTTGCAAATAAATTTATGGTATTTTAATAAATATTAGACTAGTGGGGTGAAAGGGATAAGGAGTTTTTCCAAGTTATAAATGTACACTGGCTACCATTTAAGACTTTCTCTGATTTTAATTGTTGATCTTATAATCACTTTATCAGAAGGTTAACAATATTGGCATGACAGTTGTTTTATTTTAATAATAGTTTGTTTTTAATTTCACTGTATTGCTTTGACTAATATATTAGCACTCTCCATAATCAAATAACTATAGATCAGAATTGTTATCTGTAAAGAAAAATATTATTTGAAAAATAAAGCACGAATATAGAAAAGATGTGTATATTTATATATTTCATATTGGGAGAAAAATTTTTATTTAGCAGAACAAAATATTTTAGTAATGTATTTTTATTTATTGAGAGAGAGGAAGAGAGAGAAAAAAAGGAGAAACATCAATTTGTTGTTCCACTTATTTATGCATTCATTGGTTGATTCTTGTATGCACCCTGGCCAGATATTGAACCCGCAACCTTGGCATAACGGGATGACACTCTAGCCAATTAAGGTACCCAGCCAGGGCTATAGAATAAAACATTTTAGAGAAAATACATATTCAGTGTCTCCTTTGCCTTTCTTATGATATTCCCAATTTTAATGAACTTTTATTAATTTTTTAAATTTCACTGCAGCTCATTCCATTTAAAGACAAGTCATTAGACTAGACTTAACAAATTATAAAAGAATTTTTAAATTACCTTCTCAAATAAATTTAAATAAATTTATCTGTTTACCAGGTCATGTAAAATAACAATAAGATTAAAAGAATTTTAAAATAACATGTTTAATCCTTAATTTTAGAAGGAAATGTAGTTTTTCCATATATATATATATATATATATATATATATATATATATGAACAATTATGAGTTTCTTATCCAATGATCTGGGACTGACCAATAAGACGTAATCTTAGGAATCAGACCCTAAAGCATCATAAGTCTGATCATAGCATTAGAGAGACTGAGTGAACAGGAAACACAGGAAAGACTAGTTCATAAACAACAACAAAAATATCATTACTAAGTAGTAAAATAAACAGACTAGATTAAGTTGAAAGGCTTAAAGTGCCCATTTTTCAAAAAAAGAAAGAAGCATTCCCCTGGCTTTGAAGGACTGACCTTAAAATTGACAATACCCTCATAATAGAGTATAGATTATACCGTAGGCTACATTGGTTCGTAACATTAATTAGTATTTTAGTTCTAGGTTTTATATATTCAGCTGATGGCAAGGTGCTTCCTAAATGCTTCAGACCCCCAAATTATTTAATCTAATTTGGAAAGATTATGTTGGGTAGGATATAAGATCAATACATAAAAACAGGTAAAGGAGCTGTTACAATTAATAATTACAACTCTATATCATCTCTTTACACAGGTGTTTCGTGGAAATGTTGATAACAACACACCCTATGCTAACTCTTTCACACCCCCCATAAAAGCTCAGTATGTAAGACTTTATCCCCAAGTTTGTCGAAGACACTGTACTTTGAGAATGGAACTTCTTGGATGTGAACTATCAGGTGAGTCCCATATTATCTATTTTAGTATTTTCTTTAAAGAAAAAAAATTGGTGTGTAGTCTACTACTAACCTGTAGATATTCATTCCTGCTATAACCTGTCTAGGGCATGGTTCAGTGATAAATTCATGTGTGTGTGTGTGTGTGTGAGAGAGAGAGAGATAAACAATCTAAAACATGCCACAGAAGACAACTAATGTAGAAGGAGCACTGTATTTCTTTGAGTGTCAATGAAAATAGAAAAATTCTCACTGGAAACTTTTGTTTCTTTAAATGTCTTATTGTTTTTAGTATTAACTATGATTTATGTTTTGTGTCAAATGTTCAGTAAAAACTGAAATCTGCCTGACTTTGTAAATTGCAGTTACATTTAGGCTATATGGAATAGAAAAGTAAGCTTTATCTCTGTCCATCTACTGTAAGAACTTGGCTTTTGGGATTTTTTTAATGAAACATGTACATTTTATCATTTCTCCCAAGGAGACAATACTTCAATACCAAGATTGCTACTATAAATTCACTCTTGGATCATTCTTATCTACCACCCTGCCTATTGTATAAACAGTGGTTATCCAACTCAAAGATAATCCATCAAAGGACTCAGGTTAAATAATACTTATCTTCCAGGAGCATCAGTATTAAATATAAAGATGAAGACTTGATATGTAGCTCTCTCAGTGATCCCATTTCAATATAGCTAGATTCTGAACTAAACAGACAATTTTGTCTAGGCATTTCACTGTGTTTCTTTTTGGTGGTTGTTCTTATTCTAGCATCAACATTTACATGAAATGTAATTGTTTTGTTCAAACACCTGTGTTTTGAAAAATAAAAAATTAATGTGTACCTCACTTTTTAGAATAACCTTCAAAAAATAAAGACTTTTATCAAATGTACAATGATACTATTTAGTTAAAAATTGGAGGACACATGCCCTGGCCAGGTGGCTCATGTGGCTGAAGCATCGTCCTGACCACCAAAGCTTGCAGGTTCAATTCCCAGTCAGGGCACTTACCTAGGTTGCAGTCAACTGATCTATGTTTCTCTCCCACATTGATGTTTCTATCGTTCTCTCTCTCTCTCTCTCTCCCTCTCTCTCATTTTCTCCCCCCTTCCTCTTCTCTCTAAAATCAATAAATATATCCTTGGGTGAAAGTTAAAAAAAATAGGAGGACACATCCATAGAACAGAATAACTGGGAACTATTTATGCATTTTAAGAGGTGGTGTATTGGTTATAATATATACTTTATATTTATTTCCCTTCGTAGGTATACTTGTGATGTTGAGAAAAGGAATGATTTTTAAGCAAATAAAAGTTACTATTAAAAAACAACCAAACTTTTACCCCACTAGTGTGTCTCAGTGTTGAGCATTGACCCATGAATCAGGAGGTCACTGGTTCGATTCCTGGTCAGGACACCTGTCTGGGTTGTGGACACAGTAGGAGGCATGCAAGAGGCATCCAATAGATAGATGTTTCTCTCTCGTCTATGTTTCTATCTCTATCCCTCTCACTTCCTCTCTCCCTAAAATAAATAAAAACATATTTTAAAAACAACAACATACTTTAAATGAAGCCATTATATTTAAAGGAATCAGAGACATTTAGCTAGATGACTGAATTTGTTTTAAGAATCATATTTCATATTATGTATGGGTTTCTTTTATGAAGCAGCCAACATATGGTTTTAGTACTATTAATTACCCTAACAGGGATGTTTTCCTTATTTTCTTAATTCAAACCAGCTTACTGACTATCAGTAAATCTGAGCAGAATTGTTGTACAGTGTTTTTATTGCATGTCACTATATCACCACAGGCTGGTGTCAGCCCTATCTCATCCATCATAAAGCAATCAAGAAGAAGCCACAGATGATGAGGTTTGCTACAAGCCCCCATGGTTTTTAGTTGCTTTACATCACCTTCCCAGACTTTTCAGCCATTTGATTTGTGAGGGTCAGTCTCTCATACATGGCACAGTTATACCCCTAAGGGGTAAATGTATTTTACTTTCAAGTTTGACTTGAGGTTACACCTGACACTTTACAGATTTTTATGTTCTCAGAAAGAAGCCATACCCATCTCCCACACCCACACATTGATTTTGAACTTGCATGCAGAGAATAATATCACTTGATGGATACTTTTAAAAGCTGTAAAATAATCAATTTCATTGTTAATTTTTCATTTTGTACAGGTGCTTTCCATGATGGTAAAAGAGTTAATTTATACTTATCAAATCATATGGATGAGAAGGAAAATTTGTGAGGCAAATTGGAAGAGGTTAGCTGTTACATTTGGAAATAAACAGTAATATAATGTATGGAATTATTTCCCACAATCCAGTGCAACACTATAAAGCCCAAGGCTGCCTTATTCAATAAACTGTTATAAGATCTCTCAGCCTTCCTAGAAGATCAGCAGCTAATCTTTTACCAGATACTTAAAAAGAAAACCCCTAAATTCTCTGAGAGAGATATGATTTAAGATGTTTAGATTGAAATGGATCATGACCGTAATTAGAGGAGGAATAGTCATTCATTCATTCTTTGAACAAATTATTCAGAACTTCCTCTGGGCTAAGTACTAGACAGTGGAATGGGTATGAAATGAATTCAATGACTGAGCAGAAATGTTGAAAGTAAAGGTATCCCTTTTCTAAGCAATATTTGAAATACTGCGTTATGTCACAAAAGGAAGAAACCAACAACCTTTCCTTTTTCCCTTGTATCTCTTCTGCAAGTCCATTGGTTTCACAGAAACTCCAGTAGCAGTGCAGGGTGGGGGTGAGGACTTGATGAGAGCAATAGAAGAACAAGTCAGAAATCTGTAATTTAGATAAAGCATGTTAACATAGAACTGCCTGAAGGTAAATGACATGTCATTAAGACTTTAGAACTTTCTACAATCCTTGAGATTTGGTCATAAAACTTTTCTCCTCCAGAATTTATATTTAGAAGTTCTAGTTATTTTTATCATGGGACTTAAGAGTATATGTCTCCGATCCCTAAAACCCAACAAAACTTGTACTAAGACATAATTGGCTAACCCTCCATCACCGTTTTGGCAATGTTTGCATAGGATAGTCATTTCCTAGAAGGTGGAGTTGAAGGAAGACATGGAGGAGCCTCAAGAAGGAAGAAGTAATCTACATGGACTAAGACAGAAAGAAATTCATTGTAGTTAAGAACTATTTATCATTGAAGAGTTCTAAGCCACTTCTCTTAGAGCCTTGACTTCAAATGGCTTAGTTTTAGAAACTACAGCCAGTCATAAGCTATTTAGTGCCCCCTGATATGCTGATTTGAGGTCTTAACATTGTTATCTGTTGAAATGAGCTTTATGGAAATAATAAAAAGAGCTAACATTTACTGAATGTTAGCTATATGCTGGCACTGTTTCTAAATACTTTAAATTTATTAGCTAATTTCTTAAAACACTTATTTAAAGTAGTTTCTTATTATCATTATCTTAGAGATGAGAAAACTGAGGCACAATGTGGTTAAATAATGGGTATAAGTACACAGATTGTGAGGGACCAATAGAGTATGAGAAAATGGCATTGATTGGAGGAGTCTTCCTTTTATCTTGGATTTCTTTTAATAGCTTTATAGATCTAGGTCATATAGATAGATATAGATAGATAGAGATAGAGATAGAGATAGAGATAGAGATAGAGATAGAGATATAGAGATATATCAGAGAAAAAGGAAGACGGAGAGAGAGATAGATACATCAATGATAAGAGAGAATCATTAATTGGCTGCCTCCTGCAACCCCCCCCCCCACTGAAAATCAAACCCCAAACCCTGCCATGTGCCCCAACCTGGAATCGAACCGTGACCTCCTGGTTCATAGTTTGACACTCAACCATTGAGCAACACAGGCCAGGCTTATTTTGGGTTTCTTGATAATAAAACTTACTTGTGGAAGCCTCAACAACTGCCTAATATGATAACAGAATCATGGTTCCCATGGATGGCTTTATGGATGGAATTTTGTCACAATTGTAATTCAAGATTGGAAGTTTGTGTGCACACACACACATATGCACATACACACACACATATTTCAAGGACAGACAAACCCACAATTTGCACCATGTCAAACCTGAAACCATGTGTGGCAAATTTGAGAATCTTCCAAATTTACCCAATACCAGAAGCTATTGAGTATGATCAAAATATAAGAATGTATAAAAGACTCATCCCATAATGGCTTTTGCTAGAATTACTTTCTTCTGTTATGTATTTGTTTAAATCCTATACTTGTACAATGCCCGGCACATGGTGTACTTTGAATAAGTATTAGCTTCTCACATTCCAGAAGAAGCCATGTTGGTGCTATAAGAATACGTGATAAAGATTAGCAAACATTTCTTGGAAAAGAAAATGCTGTCCAGTTCAAAATACACCATTGGAGCAGTTTGTGAAAATGACTTCGTACTGAGGGAATTTTCATTTGCAGTATTATGGAAGCAAATAAAAGAAAACCAAATATACTTTGTGAGAAAATGTTCCATTTTTAAAGGCGCAATGAAACTGTTGAAAGCTCGGGAACAGTCATGAGGCTATCATTAATGAGACAGGGGAGCATTGTTTTCATTTTGCAGAATCATCTATCGCAGAAAAGTAATTTGAATTCTGTCTTGTTTTCAATTTTTCCAAAATATATTCAGACAAAATAACCTGAATTGGCTATTTTGTTTTTCGATTTTGTTCCAGATTTATTTCTGATTATAACCTTTTTTGAATTTAGATGCTCTCTCTTTGGGGGAATGAATAGCATTAGGCTTAATCTGCTCTTGCCTCTCTAAAATGAAGACATAAAACTTGCAGGGTGATACATTCTTTTTCTCACGGAGCCCTTCTCATCTCTTTCAGGCTGTTCGGAGCCTCTGGGGATGAAATCGGGGCATATACAGGACTATCAGATCACTGCCTCCAGCATCTTCAGAACTCTCAATATGGACATGTTCACTTGGGAGCCAAGGAAAGCTCGGCTGGACAAGCAGGGCAAAGTGAATGCCTGGACCTCCGGCCACAATGACCAGTCACAGTGGTTACAGGTAACAGTTTTCAAAAACTTTTGCCACCCACTGCACCTCTTCTTTTAAAAGATTTCCTTTTGGTTAGATGATTGTTGGAGTGATTACCTTCATACTAATTTAAATGTGCCTCTCTCTTTGGCTTAACTATATTGGTAAAAAAAAAATTCCTATGAAGCTATTCTGTGTGCTATTTTTCTTCCAATGTTGATGTACAGATGCTACTGTCAGGTGGATGCAGCAGGCTGTACCATATCACACGATTATTGATCAATTGGATTGATTATGAGAGCATTTGCATTTCAACTCTCATCTATCCTCACGCTAGGAGTCAATGTTGGTTTGAAAGTGTCACAGCAGGAATCTAAACCACCTTGACATCAAGCCACTGACCCGTGGATTGTTCCCATAGAATCATGAATCATGACTTATTAGCTCTTTCCCTGTGGTTGCTAAGCAATGGAGCAATTTGATTACACCTCATGATGAGAGCTAGGTTATAGAAGGAAAGCAGAGACGGTCTTTTCTTCACTTGGCCTTGTTTTCCCTTATTCTCACAGTTAGAAACATGTCCTTTTTCTTTCAGGTTCTCCAAACCCACACACTCACACTAACAAGTTAATAAGTATTGGTTATTTCAACTACTCTCAAGTTACTTCACTTCTCACCATCCCACTGCCACTCTCATACTCTATGCTACCACCCTCTTTCACCCTGGGTTTTTGTAGCTTTCCAATTTCTGTTCCTACTCTTTAAAAAGCTGTTTCCCAAACTATAATAAGTATGATTTTTTTTCCCAAAATACAAAGGTGATTATTTTCTTACTCTCTTTTGAAACTTTTCAATTGCTTTCTATTACCTCAGGATAAAGTCGGGTTCTTTAATATAACCTAAAAGTGCATGATTTGGCCCTATTCCCTCTTACCTTTTTAGTTTTTCTAAATTTGCTTCAGTTTTTCAAACCAAGCACTATCACTGTCTTTCCATTCCTTTATAAATGTCCTCTTCCTAGAGGAAAAGAATGGGGAAAGAACACCTCTGCCCAGAGCACCCCCAGCCTTTTATTGGTATAATCCTTCAGCTACCATGTGGGTATGCATTCCTCTGGTGCATCCAAAGCAAGCCAACTCCATCCCACACCAGATTTGGCTTAAGTTCTCTCCTGTACACTACTGGGTCATCTATAATTATCTCAGAGCATTATCACACTATTATTGAAATTGTGTTTTCATGCTTCATTGTTTGCTCTAGGAGGGATGGGACCACATCTGTCTTTTTCACTTTCTCAACTTGTTGTTCAGTGCCTAACTAAATACCTGTCTCAATACCTGACACATGGTAGGCATTCAATAAATATTTGTTGAATGTATGAATGGATAAATGAATAGTTCAAAATACAATTGAACTTACTGATTTGGGCATATACATCATAGAATTGTGATCCACAATTTAAGAGGCCAACTGCTAATATCCTCAAATTTCAAAAACAATATTTAAAAAGAAACTAAAAGCTCATACTAAAGATCTGACCTTTATAATACAGGAACTAAATTATTATAGTACATAGCCTTTATGAATTGTTACGTTCTTAATTTGAGGAATCCATGGAAACATTTTTTTCCGATTTGTTAGAATTGAATGGTAAAGTTAAACTTGCTCTTTGTTGCTGTATAATATTTTTTAAATTGGAAATATTCCAGTCATGCCTCATTTTAAATATCACTTTTGAGTCAGAATGACATGTGGAATATTACAAAATATTTTACACTATAACTAATTCAGGCTGGTAGGCTCTAGAAATATCCATATGAAGGAGTTGCCAATGGCACATTTCTTTAGAAAGATAAAACTAAACAAATATTTTTACATGAATCAGGGTGTACTCTTCAATGCAAACCTCCATCCATCACATTTTTTAGGATGGCTTTTCAACTGTCTTCTTAAAGTCACTTGCATGCTGAAATTGATTTATTCTGTTGGTGACAAATTTTTCTATCAACTCAAGGACCAGTTCTTGCAGTGTATGTCCATTTTTTGCTGTGTCAAAACATATTCAGAATCTTGAAGGCAGGGTAAATTGACATCTTTACTTATACTTATTTTTTTTTCTTTTTTGACATCAAGAAAATGCTCAAGAATTGTTACTATTTTTAGTATTTTCTCATCAAAAGAATAGAATCTGTTCAACTATATATTGCCATGGCTGTTAGTGTCTTTGTTGAAAATAAGATTAACATTTTTATAGATATTTTATAGGATGAGTTTGTTTTTAAATTGTTTATATAGAGTCAATTTTTTATCCTTATTTGAGGCTTCTGAATTTATGAAGTTTAGTTCTGTTTTTAACCTAAGATGCATCAATTCTGGGTAATAGCTCTTCTGAAGAGAAACCATGTCTCTCATTTAAATTTCCCTCCTTCACTATCAATCTTCTGCTTATTGATTTTTTAAGAACTTTCCTTTATATACTAACTATATATAACTCTCTAAGGATGAGTTTTATTTCAGTTTATAGGTGTTTCCAAAATTTATTCAATAGATAATGTCTGGAAATACAATTGTTCTAAAGAAAACCCCAAAATGTTTTTAAGGAATTCTTATGTACTCAAATATCACTTTAACATTTTATTCTTCTTATTACTCTATTGTTGTTTCCAGTGCTTCTATAAGGGCAAAATATCAGATGCTTCTTAAGCAAGTGTTCTTGTATTACTTTTCATAAGTGATCTTACCTAGCTGATTAGTGGCTTCCATGAGCTATTGTTTATCATGAAATCATTATGCTATTTCTTTATAAACATGGCAAAAATGTGTTAAGTCCACAGGCAAAAGAAAATAAGAGGCATTTTTTTCACACCTCTGAAAAACTGTTTCATCGCTTTGATGTGTTTGCTATTCTCCAATATTTTGAGCAAGGAGCCCCACTAATGTGTTTTTCAAAAACACAGAGGGTTTTTTTTTGGTATGTGTGTGTGATTTTTGTTTGTTTGTTTTTTGTTAAATTACAGTTTCAGCCTTAAAAAAAAAAAAAAAACAACTTACAGCTAAGATGAAAGATCATAAGCCAATTATTCCTGACTCATAGCTGAACATTTCTAACATATGGCTGGACTAAATTTTAATCCATGTTATAAAATAAAGTAACATTAAAGTAACAAAAACAGACATTTTGTTGGATTTTAAATTTAATTAAATAAGACAAATGAAGAAGCACATAGAAGGTACCCAGCAACAGGTAGCTCCCGCCTTTCTCTTTCCTATGGCTGGTGAAACCTTAGGAGAACATGACCTGACACCACCAATTTTAATCAAGAATGAAGATCTGCATACATATTCTTTGCTTCTTTCAAAAGGGAATTTTTAATAAAACTATGAAAGATAAAGTAATATATTGGTAGATCAGTTGCAGACTGTGAGAAGTGTTGATAAATTATATAAATTTGCATTGGCAAGCAAAAATTTTTAATTTTTTATATAGGTGACATTATATTTTTCAAATTCTTTACCTGGGAACAGTAGTAATATTATTAATAACTAAAATAAGCTTTATATGTTACTTGGTAATGTTCTCTACTGAAACAATATTCTTATTAGAAAGTTTATGTGTTTTATGTCCATGTTCAGTTGCTTTCAATACACTGAGTAAATTCCCTTAGTATTTATACTCATATTATACAAACTGATTAAAATGCAGCATAAAATTGTGGTGTTTAATCTTACTAATTGTGAAGAAATATTTTGGTATAGTAGATGCAAGTAAACAATGAACAATCTCTAAGAATTAACTTGGATTGACTAACCAACTTAAAAAAAATCTTATGATTAAAGACTGTAAATTATCTTACATTGAATATGCTCTGTGTGTATTCATTGCATTATAGGTGGTAATTCATCCTCTATAATTGAATCTATTGAAAGTTTTTTTCAGATTTCACAAAAGGGAAGCACAATATAAATGAAAATGTCACAATGTCACCTAGTAAATGACCTTTTGGTCTATTTCATGAAACAATTGCTAATTTAAGTTAGTCTGTATAGTATTTCATCCAAATTAGTAGAATTAATTGAGTTGTTAAAGTGCACATTTTAGTGTTGACCTTTTTCAGAATTGCAGCTAACCCTTCACAACTTCATTTCAATACTAATTTTGTGGAAATGTGCAAAAAGCAATTGAATTTGAGTTTTCTAATTAAATAAGCCGCATTTAGTTCATTTTAGATTTTTAACAGGGCATATTTTAGCCATAAAATTCATAACTTCTTTAAAAACATTAACTTATCTTGTCTTATGCACAATTTATTTATATTAGAATTAAAGGAAAAAAATTTTCAAGGATCAAGGGTCCCTCAATATGAAGGAATAGTCTGATTTCCAGGTCACTCTTCCAAAATTTCAAATACAGTAAACAGCAAGCTTACATGAAGGGTTCAGTTATCAAGCCAATCTGAAAGAGATAAGTAATGTCTTTATTTTGTATGATTATGAAACAGTCCCCATCCTTCAAAATGTTAATATATGTTGAAGTATATGAAGTGAATCAAAGGATGTCCATACCTTGCTTGTATTTTAAATCATCTTTAAATTTTTATAATTTTATGGTATCAAAGGGAATCTCCACTATCCAAATACAAAAAAACTAATGAGCAAAGCAAAATTGAGTAGGATATTTATACAGAGAGTACTTGGAGAGCAAACCATCAGTATACTATGCAGCCAGGATCAATGTACTATGCTGAGTGCAGGACAAAGTCCAACAATCTGGTTTTGAGGGCTGACGACTTACATTAATATTCTGGGACTCAGTTTTTTCTCTTTTTCCTCTAAAATGTGGATATTACAAAAATGATAACCTCCCAGGCAACCTTCCTCTTTTAAACTCTCATACCACTAAGATTCTAATAGCTAAAGGATGATTGACCCAATTCAATGTAATAAAAAAAATTATCAGGATCTCCAGTTAATTTCTGGTAAAGTTAACAAAAACAAAAAAAGGCATCATATAACTTAATGAGTGTTACAGA